CTGTGGAACTCCACAACTTGCACGTGATTGGAAGTAGCAGCCAATAAAAATCACACAATTTTTTCAGGGCGGGGTCGGGATACGGGAAAGTTAAAAAAACAAGGCAAGACTCCCAAGAATACAAAAGGCATGCGCTCCCGAACTTAAGACGCTGGCTGACTACATCATCCCGCGTAAAAATATTTACATTACCAGAGCAAACTGTTCAACTCAACTGTTGAACAGTTGAGAGCAAAGAATATCTAAAGGCAGTCGATTCCACATGTCAGTTATTTGATGGGGAAAACTATACCTCAAGACATTAGTTCTGTTTAACTAACTAATATAGAACATAAAAATAGTAAATTCGAAGAATTCATTAAGATATGACAAAATTTAAAAATCACTAAGAAATGTCTTCACTCTTGACTTGAAAGCAGTTACACTATCAGAGCAACAAATATATACGGTAGCTGATTCCACATGTCAGTTATTTGATGGAAAAAACTATACTTCAGGGGCCGGTTGCTCGGAGCCTGGTTAGCGCTAACCGTTGGTTAATAGGTAGCAAAATGTATAGGTTTCCATGGTATTTAACGCTGGTTAGCACTAACCATGCTTCGAGCAACCTGGGCCAGAACATTAGTTCTGGCAAATTTCTTCTTTAAAGTTAAAAAGTCCTTGGACCTTAGTGCAAAACGGTCAGCTTCTGAGTGGAAATCTAATGCAGACATCAATATTAATGTTGCCATTATTAAAAATACTTTATATAAGAATGTCACATCAGTCAGTAATCTTCTCTTCTGCAATGACATGAGGTTTAACCTCTTCAAACAAATGTCATAGGGATCATCACTCTTTAGGATAAATTTTGTTGCCTTTCTCTGTACCCTTTTCAGTCTATCAATATTTCTTTCTGTATACGGGGACCACACCACCAAACAGTATTCCAGGTTCGAGCGAACCAGAGAGCAATAAAGAGTACACAACGTCGTAAGCTCATCCAGACCTTCACAATTAAGTTCTTTTAATTAAGCCAAGCACTCTGATGGCCTTGGATACAACAAGATCAATGTGTGGGTTCCATGATAAGTGTTTATTAGTAAAAATCCCTAAGTCTTTAAACTCTTCAACCTCTTCCAGTCCAGAATTATCCAGGAAAAAACTATAAATGAGTGGTTGAGTCTTCTTAGTAATTTTCATTATTTTGCATTTCTCGATATTAAAGCTCATGAAATTCCAAACACTCCACTGATGTAGATTATCTAGATCTTGTTGAAACAAATCACCAACCGTGTCAATGATTCTGGAACATTTGCAGTCATCTGCATAAGGGGCAATAGTACTGCCAGGAGGAACAACTTCAGGAAGGTCACTAACAAATATAACAAAATCAAAGGCCCTAATAAAAAGCCCTGACGGACTGATGAGACATCAGACCAGGAAGAGGATATACCATCCAGTACAACTCTCTGTCGACGATTGTTTAAGTAACTTTCGCACCATTGTAATAATGAGCCAGTGATCCCAAAGTTGCACAACTTTTGCTACAAAACTGAATGATTCACTTTGTCAAAGGCTTTGGAAAAGTCCAAAATAATGACATCTTATGTAAATAAACTGATTTTTAAACACAAGATAAGGTAGTTTCTATGTTGTATTTTATCATCCATTTGTAGTTTAACTGGTTTAATTTTTACGGTAGATTTTTATTGAGTGTATAGGCAACTAGAATGTAACAAAAGATATACATGTACTTTTACCTTTTGGCAATAAAGACTATTATTATCATTATTAATGTACTTTTACCTTTTGGCAATAAAGACTATTGTTATTATTATTATTAGGGTTTGTACCCTTTTTCAGAAACAATTTTCGAGGACTTTTCCAGGCTTCAGATTGATTTTTCCAGGACTGCGAAAATCACATTGATCCTTTCACTCTCAGAAGTGACAAACCCTTTATTTCTACTCACAATTTCAACACATTGCCCGACATACAAATAAGGACAATAAAGAAAAATAAAATGTCAACAAATTGATTGAACACTAAATTCTCAGAAGTACATATGTAACATATGAAATCCATGGTTGATAGTTATTAGTAGAATTAGTATTCCCATCTTGGGAATCTTGAGCTTTCCAACCAACTGCTCATCAATGCCTTTCAAGGCTACACTCTCTTCCATGGCAGATCTTCACAAACTGTTTGATTTGGCAACCCAAGTAAGGTTTCTTGAATCTTCCGCCCTATCAGCAAATTCATCTACAGTCTTCAGAAGAGCCTCTATATCAATTTCAACTGCCATTTCTTTTTCTTAACCACATCGATCTCATCCATTGTTGCCTTTCGTTTAAGCAATTAATTTTTTCCTGGGACACTTAACTCTTCTGCTCTTCTAGATAGGAAATATACTTCTGTCAAGCTCCAACAGATAACATAAGAAGTTGCTTTCAGATGTGCCAATTGACAAGGCCTCCAACTGATTGACTGTGACCATGAATAATCCTCTGTGCAATAAACAATCTGTCTGAAAAGTTCTCAACTGCCACTCCTTTGTTTACAGAAAAGCCTCTATTAACTGTGGATTGACCATGAGACATTACTTGCAGCAGCAGTAATTTGACCACACTCCACTGACACTTTAGCCTGTTGCTTATCTCCAGCCATGTGTTCATACAACAGTGTGTCAACTCTTGAAATGGGTTCACTTGGGTCAAAATCTTTAAAGGTAGGATATACCTGCATATTCATCCAGAAACTGTCCAGACTATATCTCCTCATCACACTCATTAGTCTTCAATCTGTGGGCTTCCACAAGAATTTCAAGAACTCTTTTCATTTTGCTGACACACGTTTCTTTCCCTAATGCTATTAGCATATTTCTTACAAGTCGATATTTATTGGTGTTTTGTCATGCAGTTTAGAAGCTGTTTTTGCAAGAAGATCTTCACATTCCATTTTGAATTGAAGAACTTGCCTTTCACACAAATTTCTCACACTTTTCTTTCAGCATCTGTTGTGCTACAAAGCCCACATCAACTTTCTTATAGTCTAACTGCTGTTCTTTATCGGTGGGCTTCAACTTTAGGATCTTCAAAGGAGATGTTGTGTTTCCATAAGATAAAATGCTTCTTTTCCTTTAGCGGCTTTTCAGCGCCGATTCTCCCATGTTTGATACATCAAATGCCTTCAAACAAACTTTCCATTTTGCTTCAAACTTGTCCATGTCACGTTCCAACCACAATTTATAGCAAGAGTTTTTCAACCAACAGTCACTAAACGAGCATTTCCCAGGCATATTTTAGAATAAAAATGTTTAAACTAAAAACACCTATCGACTGATGTATAAATCTCCAACTTACGAAATCATGCATATCTCAAGGTTACTAAGGGACTATACGGAGAAAAAACACGAAAGAGAAATATTTATGTAGTCAAAATCACAGACGCACAGCATGTTATAATAATTATTATACATTGAACTCACTATCTCTTTTCTGATTGGCCGAAAGTGTACAGTGAATTTTCGAAATCAGCGCCTGGGACATCATCTAGCTGCAGATTATATAATAATCATGTCAAGGACACTCAAGGTCACGGGTAATCATGTCATGTATGACCGCGGTGCATGATTTCTAAGGGTAATCATGTCAAGTTCACACGTTTTGTGTTTGCTTGCCGTCAGTGAAGAAGCAAAAACATGACTTCCAGGTTTGCTTCATTGACCAAGCAAGTCAACGAAAAAATAGTTGAAGACAAGGACTCACAAAACACAAAAAGGTTGATGAAGGTGGCAAAGGAGCTGTTTGCTGATTACGTGAAAGAAAAAAAACTGAGAGAACTTGAAGAAAAGAAAGAGTTGGCACAAACTTTGAAAACATACATTTTATGTCGAAGCGAGAAGGAAAGAATTTGTTTAATGTATAATAAAACAATTATTACATTCAGTTTTTGAGAAATCCAGAATAATCAAGGTCTCAGTAAAGGTTATCAGCCGAAGCCGATAACCCCTACCTTGACCTTGATTATTCTGGATATCACAAAAACCAAATCTAATAATTGTTTATAATTCTCAAAAACGTTTTCTCACTTGTGTTAAGGAAAATGTTATTACTTTATTCAGTTTAACAGATTTCCAGGACTTTCCAGTCCTGGAAAATGTGACAATAAAATTCAAGGACTTTCCAGGATTTCCAGAACCCATATGAACCCTTCAGTATTATTTATTATTATTATTAAGAAGACTACATCAACTTGTCTGGGTTAGAAGCAGTCGAGTCTCACAAAATCTACATGTACCTCTAACAAAACCATATTGCCATTTGGTGAGAAACGGAGAGATATGATCATAAATAGCAGAATGCACAATGCGCTTTAAGAACTTACATGTAGCTGGGATTGGTAATAAAGAGATTGATCTGTAGTTAGTTACCAGCTCCCAGTACTATCTCCCTTATGAATCGGGGTAGTATTGGCTGATTTCCACAAGGTAGGCATATTCCCAGTCCTCAGGGATACAGGAAGTTAAACAAATGAGCAAGTGGAAGAGAGATCTAGCTCTTTAGCACAAGTGAGCAAAATATGAGCTGGTAGGTTATCAACACCAATTGCCTTGTTTATATTGATCTTACTAAGAATTCCCTCAAGCTCTGGAGCTGTACAGTATAGTGGTAATTTCAGATAACAAGTTTGGATTAACAACATCTGTCGCCAACAGATTAACATCAATTGTAGATTCCAAGTGAACTGAATGAAAAAACACATTGAATAACTTCACCTTCGAATTCAAGTCCCTAGACCTAGTGTGTCCATAAATAACAGTTTCAGGAATTCGTTTTGCCTTAGATTTGATAGAATAGAGAATGCCCAGAAATGCTTGGGATTTTCCTGGAGTTTTCCAGACAAAGACTGAAGATACTGTTGGTATCTTGAATTAATAAGTTTCTTGGTCTTCCTTCTAAGATCCTTGAATTTCAGAAATAAATCAGTGGATCCATTAGTCTTCAAACTTTTCCAAAGTCTCTTCTTCTTTCTAATTAATTTCATAGTTTTGTTATCAATCTAAGGAGGCCCAGAACACTGTTTCAGAGTTCTTTGTAATATGTGCTGGTCAATAGCACAAAATATTAAACATATCCAGGAATTTCTCTAAGTTGTATCAATACTAGTATCTGATGTAACCAGGTCCCAAGGTAAAGTTCTTAATGTCTCTTGTAAACCATTAAAATCCACTGTTCTGTAACAATTAATAAACTTTACGTTGAGCATTTTTTGGCCTTGTTTTCTTAAAATGTAAATGTAACTTGAATGTTAGGGGAAGAGACCTGTAAAAACTTTGATAATTCTGAGAGTAGATTATTTTGTCCTTGAGCATGACCAAAAGCGTGACCAAGCTAAAAGCAAAGCCCTGAAAAAAAGCAACTACTTTGGCTGCCCCTAGGTGAGTTAGCTAGTTAACTTTTCCCTAACACAAATGCAAACTGCATGTCTTCGACACCCCCGTCCCATTCCTTGCAGTCTCCCATGCCCCTCCCTGACAGTGTGTACATGTATGGGCAGATGGGCAGGAAGCTGACACTGACATATCATATAAATTTTCTTGCATTGATAGTTTTCAATTTCTATAGCAAGTATCTAGCGAGGCTCTACTAATACATGTAAGTGCATCTTTGTGATTCATACCTTGGTAGCAAAATAGCAACTGTTCTCTGCTACTTGCCAGCTCTAACAAATATGATGATAAACTGTGTTCAAGCAATGCCTGCTGAAGCCCATCCTCAGTACTTTTGATGATCTCTGGAGCAGCCACCTAAAGAAAAAATACTTACAATGCTCAATGTCGCCTCAATCAGTGACAAAATCAGTAATGAGACAATTGCCTACAGGGCCTTTCAAACATGTTGCAAACTTCAAAAGGGGAGACAATTAAGGGACAAGTCATAGTGTTCATATTATCTACATGTACATCTGGGTGATCTAGGTGATCATATTAAGTAGGCTCAGACACAATTTTTATCGACATAAAGATACCAAGGAGCAATGACTGAAAACAAAAAGCTAAGGAATTGAAACTTGTGTAATAGAGGGTAGAAAACATTATTAACTTTTTAATAACACAGTACTACGTAAATAGTATAAGGTTCAAACACTGGAAGATAGAAAAATAGAATAATCAAATCCCTAAAAAAATATCACACTCCTATTCTGATTCTGTTTTTCAAGCAATAAAATCATATTAACAGGATACAATCTGTACAATTAGCACACAATGAAAATAGACAGTGCTGATTGTCTAAATCCCAAAGTCACCTAAAGGGAATGGAATGAAGGTACTGTAGGAGAATTTGTGACCCTCAACAGAAAAATAAGGCAGAAGGTAATCGTATGGGCATGCATACAGTACAGTCCCAAAATGAGGCAAATGCACGCACAAACTTCTTTTTGCCTCAGCCAGCTGGCAACATCTTAATTGCAGCTACAGTCACCTCCCAATAACTCAAACCCATGATGACTCAAACCAAAATCAATTTCTCCTGGATGGCCTTCATACATTTACTGTAATATTACCTGAGGTTATTGGAACACTCAATTGCTCGAACTTCCTGCTAACTTGAAGTATTTTCTTTTTTGTTTCCCTTCAGCTCAATCATTTCTATGTAATTTTACCCTTGAGAACTCAAACCAATTTTCCTTGAGAGTGACCTCTCATAAGCGACCACATGGTAAAACAATAGAGGTTATGAGAGCTCCAGTCAAACTCATTAATAACTCATAAAAAAAATTGCTGTTCAGCAAATGTACTGTTGTCTTATTTGGCCACTGTAATTTGTTAAATTCATGCAACTTTCTTTCATAAATCAAGTGTTCCACATAAAAAGCTACAAAGAACAAATTAAGCTAACATTATTTCGTGATCATACACCGAAAGTTTTACCGATGTTGTTGATATCTCGTCGGTGAAAGTTGCGACTACGTGTAAACAATAACAAATGCACTGTTGTCTTATTTGCATGCCCACTGTATTAAACTTGTTAAATTCTAGACAGCTTTCTTTCATAAATCAAGTAGTGACTGTTTAAAAAAGCTATAAAGAACAAGTTTATTAAGCTCACATTATTTCGTGATCATACAGTAACACCAAGCTGAATTTTTACCAGTGTTGTTGAGATCTTGTGGGCACAAAAGTTGCTGCTACACGTGAATGATAACTACACATATCAAAAGAGCTGACAAATTTTTTTAGTGGAGAAACTCATCGCTAGCGATTTCAGTGTATTTGGTTCTTCTCACATTAGTTTGCTCATACAAAAAATCAAGGAAAGTGGAAGCCGTTTTCAGGTTTTGGCAAACAAAAAGTCATGATCAAGTGCAGTGTCAAATGTTGATCGCAAACAAAGCCGAAAACTAAACAGTGTGCAAATGACAAGCTAAAAGAAATCTTCTTCCAAGAAACTTAACACTAAATGTAACACACGTTTTCCTCAGTCTTTGACGTAATGCTAAGCAAAATTTTTAGTTGGTTTCTCGCTGGACGTGTCGTTAGTAATTTATGCCAAAAATTACCACTTCAGTGTTTAACGGGCTATGCGATTCTAATTGCACATGCTAAGAATCATGTAGCGAGCAATACAATTCTCATCGCGCAGGAAATGAGTCTCAACTGGTAAATTACTTTTGAACGGTACTGTATTTTTTCTACTCTGGTTTCCTTGTGGTTAATTCCTTATTATGATTTAGCTTAGTATGAAGTCTGCTCACTGCCACACTGGCATTGCTTCAGAGAAAACAATTCTTTAAGTTTCATACAGCTGTATGGGACGAAAACAAAAGAATTGGAAATTGAGTAATCAAAAGCGGGCAACATAGGCCCATTTCACCCACTTGTATAGCCTATCAAATTACATGATTCCTTTCATCTTGCCTATGAGCAAGCAAGATGAAGACATTATGTACCTTGTGTTTTTTTAAGAGTGATACACCAAATAATGTGATGTAGGACTGAGGTTGTAGCAGTATGGAGTCAATACTTGAGAATAAAAGCCTTTCAACACTGATTCCTATCCACAGTTGACTGTACTTTGTAATTTTTTTTTCACGTTCCTTTAACTGTTTAACTCTGTTTAACCTTTGCTTTAATCGAGATGAAATAAAAGTAAGAGACGCATCATGGTCAGTTGAAACTGAAATCTAATCTTTACATTTCGCAAACCACATCTCATCGCCAACGCAATATTAAATGTACTTTGGGTAAATCGTTATCAAGCTATCATACAAATTCTCACTCAAGGCAAAATTTCGTTTGCGCATGTTTTACTTCCATGTATAAAGCTGACTAGACTAGATTACGCTAGCTTACTTGTTTGCCTCTTTGTCCGTGCCTAAGTATGCGTACTATATCATCGATGATTCTTTCTTGAACCTCTAATATACCCCAGTTGTTTTCTGTGTCCGTTATTATAAGCCGATTAACTGTTCGTTTGAGCGCCTTTAACAAAGAACATCTTTCTTTTGCGCGTTCCACTCCTCCATCCTCGTCGTCCGCCATCTTTGTTATGACTTACCCATGACGTCACCACCAGGCCTTTTACACGCATCGGAGACATCTCACTTGCCATACACCCAGCGCTTTCTGCCATATAACAACATGGTTGCTACGAAGCAGACGAAGCAGTGATTTTTGTCTTCAGTTATAAGGAGCAATGTCACCTGTACGGCATGGGCAGCGTGGTATTTGCAAGTGCAGTGATGTACGCTCTCCTGTTTTCAAGCTTTAAGGTACAGGTGTTGAGTTCTCGGTTCGTACAAATATCTAATTCCAGATTATTTAAAATTTGCACGACTGAACCAAACAGAGTAACTTCATGCATATACTCTGTAGTTAAAACAACTTCTTTCACAATAATTAACTAGCTGTTTTAACCTTTTAGTTGCATACCCTAGGTATATATAGAAGAACCAAACAGAACTTGGTGCGTTAAATAAGACTTTGATTTGGCTAAAGTGTCTAAAGTCCTGGATAATCAAAGGTAAGTTGATGTGGTATTTTAGATGTTTCAAAGTCTTTTGATTTGGTAAATCATTCTCTCGTGATAAGGAAGTTAAATCAGTATGGTGTGGGAGACTACTTCTTGAATGGTGTAAGGATTATCGAAGAAACCGTCAACAGAGGGCCCCCGTACGAAACGTGCAGCGCTGTACAACGCCACAAAATCACTTCAATAGCTGTACAGCTAAATTACAGCTTTTCAGCAGCATTTTAGAAGCCAAACAGCAGGTTAATTCAAGTTGCAGTGGGATGCATGATGGGCAGGAAGCTGACACTGACATATCATATAAATTTTCTTGCATTGATAGTTTTCAATTTCTATAGCAAGTATCTAGCGAGGCTCTACTAATACATGTAAGTGCATCTTTGTGATTCATACCTTGGTAGCAAAATAGCAACTGTTCTCTGCTACTTGCCAGCTCTAACAAATATGATGATAAACTGTGTTCAAGCAATGCCTGCTGAAGCCCATCCTCAGTACTTTTGATGATCTCTGGAGCAGCCACCTAAAGAAAAAATACTTACAATGCTCAATGTCGCCTCAATCAGTGACAAAATCAGTAATGAGACAATTGCCTACAGGGCCTTTCAAACATGTTGCAAACTTCAAAAGGGGAGACAATTAAGGGACAAGTCATAGTGTTCATATTATCTACATGTACATCTGGGTGATCTAGGTGATCATATTAAGTAGGCTCAGACACAATTTTTATCGACATAAAGATACCAAGGAGCAATGACTGAAAACAAAAAGCTAAGGAATTGAAACTTGTGTAATAGAGGGTAGAAAACATTATTAACTTTTTAATAACACAGTACTACGTAAATAGTATAAGGTTCAAACACTGGAAGATAGAAAAATAGAATAATCAAATCCCTAAAAAAATATCACACTCCTATTCTGATTCTGTTTTTCAAGCAATAAAATCATATTAACAGGATACAATCTGTACAATTAGCACACAATGAAAATAGACAGTGCTGATTGTCTAAATCCCAAAGTCACCTAAAGGGAATGGAATGAAGGTACTGTAGGAGAATTTGTGACCCTCAACAGAAAAATAAGGCAGAAGGTAATCGTATGGGCATGCATACAGTACAGTCCCAAAATGAGGCAAATGCACGCACAAACTTCTTTTTGCCTCAGCCAGCTGGCAACATCTTAATTGCAGCTACAGTCACCTCCCAATAACTCAAACCCATGATGACTCAAACCAAAATCAATTTCTCCTGGATGGCCTTCATACATTTACTGTAATATTACCTGAGGTTATTGGAACACTCAATTGCTCGAACTTCCTGCTAACTTGAAGTATTTTCTTTTTTGTTTCCCTTCAGCTCAATCATTTCTATGTAATTTTACCCTTGAGAACTCAAACCAATTTTCCTTGAGAGTGACCTCTCATAAGCGACCACATGGTAAAACAATAGAGGTTATGAGAGCTCCAGTCAAACTCATTAATAACTCATAAAAAAAATTGCTGTTCAGCAAATGTACTGTTGTCTTATTTGGCCACTGTAATTTGTTAAATTCATGCAACTTTCTTTCATAAATCAAGTGTTCCACATAAAAAGCTACAAAGAACAAATTAAGCTAACATTATTTCGTGATCATACACCGAAAGTTTTACCGATGTTGTTGATATCTCGTCGGTGAAAGTTGCGACTACGTGTAAACGATAACAAATGCACTGTTGTCTTATTTGCATGCCCACTGTATTAAACTTGTTAAATTCTAGACAGCTTTCTTTCATAAATCAAGTAGTGACTGTTTAAAAAAGCTATAAAGAACAAGTTTATTAAGCTCACATTATTTCGTGATCATACAGTAACACCAAGCTGAATTTTTACCAGTGTTGTTGAGATCTTGTGGGCACAAAAGTTGCTGCTACACGTGAATGATAACTACACATATCAAAAGAGCTGACAAATTTTTTTAGTGGAGAAACTCATCGCTAGCGATTTCAGTGTATTTGGTTCTTCTCACATTAGTTTGCTCATACAAAAAATCAAGGAAAGTGGAAGCCGTTTTCAGGTTTTGGCAAACAAAAAGTCATGATCAAGTGCAGTGTCAAATGTTGATCGCAAACAAAGCCGAAAACTAAACAGTGTGCAAATGACAAGCTAAAAGAAATCTTCTTCCAAGAAACTTAACACTAAATGTAACACACGTTTTCCTCAGTCTTTGACGTAATGCTAAGCAAAATTTTTAGTTGGTTTCTCGCTGGACGTGTCGTTAGTAATTTATGCCAAAAATTACCACTTCAGTGTTTAACGGGCTATGCGATTCTAATTGCACATGCTAAGAATCATGTAGCGAGCAATACAATTCTCATCGCGCAGGAAATGAGTCTCAACTGGTAAATTACTTTTGAACGGTACTGTATTTTTTCTACTCTGGTTTCCTTGTGGTTAATTCCTTATTATGATTTAGCTTAGTATGAAGTCTGCTCACTGCCACACTGGCATTGCTTCAGAGAAAACAATTCTTTAAGTTTCATACAGCTGTATGGGACGAAAACAAAAGAATTGGAAATTGAGTAATCAAAAGCGGGCAACATAGGCCCATTTCACCCACTTGTATAGCCTATCAAATTACATGATTCCTTTCATCTTGCCTATGAGCAAGCAAGATGAAGACATTATGTACCTTGTGTTTTTTTAAGAGTGATACACCAAATAATGTGATGTAGGACTGAGGTTGTAGCAGTATGGAGTCAATACTTGAGAATAAAAGCCTTTCAACACTGATTCCTATCCACAGTTGACTGTACTTTGTAATTTTTTTTTCACGTTCCTTTAACTGTTTAACTCTGTTTAACCTTTGCTTTAATCGAGATGAAATAAAAGTAAGAGACGCATCATGGTCAGTTGAAACTGAAATCTAATCTTTACATTTCGCAAACCACATCTCATCGCCAACGCAATATTGAATGTACTTTGGGTAAATCGTTATCAAGCTATCATACAAATTCTCACTCAAGGCAAAATTTCGTTTGCGCATGTTTTACTTCCATGTATAAAGCTGACTAGACTAGATTACGCAAGCTTACTTGTTTGCCTCTTTGTCCGTGCCTAAGTATGCGTACTATATCATCGATGATTCTTTCTTGAACCTCTAATATACCCCAGTTGTTTTCTGTGTCCGTTATTATAAGCCGATTAACTGTTCGTTTGAGCGCCTTTAACAAAGAACATCTTTCTTTTGCGCGTTCCACTCCTCCATCCTCGTCGTCCGCCATCTTTGTTATGACTTACCCATGACGTCACCACCAGGCCTTTTACACGCATCGGAGACATCTCACTTGCCATACACCCAGCGCTTTCTGCCATATAACAACATGGTTGCTACGAAGCAGACGAAGCAGTGATTTTTGTCTTCAGTTATAAGGAGCAATGTCACCTGTACGGCATGGGCAGCGTGGTATTTGCAAGTGCAGTGATGTACGCTCTCCTGTTTTCAAGCTTTAAGGTACAGGTGTTGAGTTCTCGGTTCGTACAAATATCTAATTCCAGATTATTTAAAATTTGCACGACTGAACCAAACAGAGTAACTTCATGCATATACTCTGTAGTTAAAACAACTTCTTTCACAATAATTAACTAGCTGTTTTAACCTTTTAGTTGCATACCCTAGGTATATATAGAAGAACCAAACAGAACTTGGTGCGTTAAATAAGACTTTGATTTGGCTAAAGTGTCTAAAGTCCTGGATAATCAAAGGTAAGTTGATGTGGTATTTTAGATGTTTCAAAGTCTTTTGATTTGGTAAATCATTCTCTCGTGATAAGGAAGTTAAATCAGTATGGTGTGGGAGACTACTTCTTGAATGGTGTAAGGATTATCGAAGAAACCGTCAACAGAGGGCCCCCGTACGAAACGTGCAGCGCTGTACAACGCCACAAAATCACTTCAATAGCTGTACAGCTAAATTACAGCTTTTCAGCAGCATTTTAGAAGCCAAACAGCAGGTTAATTCAAGTTGCAGTGGGATGCAGAAGTGTTGTGCAGCCTTTGAAGCTCTTGGCAGCAGTTTTGCAGCGTAGTTGCCCACTTTCAAATAATTCAAACTAGCTGCAGTAATGCTACAATTCAGCTGCGGTCGATGACTGACTTTCTTGAGCGCCAATAACATGAATCACCAGATAAAGCATTTTGCCACAGATTACGGCTTTTATAACGCGAAAACTGTGACTGTACGTACCTCTAAGAAATGTGGGTAAGTTTGCAGTGCGCAGGGAAGATCACTTATTGAAAAACCTCCAAGGTCTATGTTTTGGGAATAAAGATTTCAATAAATTTCATTCCATGACTGGCGAGTGTTGGAATGTTATCGCTAATTCCCTGGAGACATTAGGGCCATTTATACGAGGAAAACTAAGATGCGTCTTACATAAGACGCGTCTTAAAATAATAAGACGCAAACTGTACCATTTATATGAGCATGTCTTATCTAAGACAAGAACAGCTCGTACAAATGGTTCGCATCTTATTTCTGTTCTTGACTCGTTTTCATGTAAATGTTGCCCGTAGCAACGGCAATCCAACGTGGCGTGCCAAAAATTAACGTATGCGTACTATGCGTTCGCGTCTTATGAAAGACTCGAAGGTCATTTATACAATTTTTTTCTCATCTTAGCTGAGACACGTCTAATGTAAGAACAGGTGTTAAGGGCTGTTCTAAAATAGACACGTCTTAGCTAAGTCGCGTCTTATTTTAGACAAAATGTACCGTTTATACGGAAAGTCCGCGTCTTATGTAAGACGTGTCTTATTTTTCCTCGTATAAATGGCCCTATTGTAGGCCATAATCTAATCGGTTGCTCCTTTTGCATGAGCTCCCATTACATCTCTAGACAAACATTTGTGACCGTTGAACGAAAGGCACAAACATTATAAGTTTTTTTTGCATCTAGTTCTGTTTCGAGATGGAAGCTCTGTTGATGTTTTTGAATGGAACAACTTTAACGTATTTGTAAACAGTGCACTTTACAGGGGCACCCAACATCAATTTTTGGAAAATATCTGTTCGGAAGACGATTTGAGATCTAGAAGTTTCGGAACGTTTGCTGTGAAATTTTTTTCTTGCCTGCCTCTCCTAGGATTTTTGAACATCTAAGAAATGGAGTAATTGCCCATTTTTAACAGATTTTTACCCTAAAAAGGTCACCTAGAATTTTTGGGAGCCTTTTTTCTGGCTGAAATTTTTGAAAAGGTAAGTTTTGATTCCTATAATTTTTGGATCACTAGACTTTCAGCTAGGAAATCCGCACGGATGGAAAATTTTTAGGGGATAGCAATATGCCCATATCTACTGTTTAAATATTAAAAATGTTCAACAATGCTATGTTTAAGTGGTTTTGAACTATTCTCATTGGGTCCCCCTGACTGTACAGTGATTTCTACGCTAAGTATCGATGAATCGAACCAGAGCAAGCAACACAAATACAAGAATCTCAGCTGTGGTTGGCACTTACATGTACAAGATTCTTACGCGTTCATGGTAATGTACGTTCCTTAGTCCATTGTAAAATTTAATAATGACCAAAGTAAAATTGGGTTGATTTCTTTCTTAAAAAAAGTGTAGCAGATTGTGGATCATGGACAAAACATCAAGGTGAGTGATGTCAAGCTTACCCCATTGCAATGAATCAAAATATCATTCGGTTGCTGTCCATGTATACTCTATGTAGAACAATCGATGTTATTCACTTTATTTTTAAAAAAGGTAATTTTCAATGTCTGCATGTTTATGGATGCATGTTTTTAACATTTAGATAAGTGACTGTGATTGCTAAATATTTACAAAGAGAGACTAGTGTTGCAGATTTGTTATATGTTACGTGCTTTTGTGACTTGTACGTGTGGATACTAATAAAGTATCAGTTGCGTTTTGACTTTCTTGTGGTTTTTACTCTCTACCAAGGCCTTGTCAACTCCTCTACCATGAATCATTATTATTGTACATGTATTTTTGTCTTTTCTAAGCCACTTTGCAGCCACTTTGCAGTGCAGATTGTGATTCGAGAATTTTCTGCACTGCTGCAACAGCGCTGTTTATCGCTGTCAAAGGGCTTTCCACTGCAGCCAAAATTTGCTACTGCTGTAGCCAGCGCTTTTGCAGCTCTTTTATAGCGAGCTTCTTGAAGCCATTCTGCACCGCTGCAGCAGCGCTGCTCGTTTCGTACGGGGGTAGTTGTATAGGGAGAGACTTCTGATTGGCTGACAGTAACATCTGGTGTACCCCAAGGGTCGATCTTGGGACTTTTGTTCTTTTATAATTTACATTAATGATTTGCCTGGTGTGGTTTCTGAGGGCAATAAGATACTCTATGCTGATGACATGATCAAGAGTGCTTCCAGCAGGACCTAAATATAAGATCAAGGAGTGGTGTAAGATTAATAAAATTATGAGGATTAATGATAGTAAATGCAAGGTTATGAGAATTACCATAAAGAAATCCGGCCCTTTCAGCTATGACTACAGCATATCATTGATGGGGCTAATTAAACTAGATGTGGTTTCCTTGCATAGATATCTGGGTTTGTTAACAAGCAATGTTCTTTCTTGAAATTACCACATCATTACCAATATCACAGGTAAGGCAAACAGCGTTTTAGGCCTTATCAAAAGAACATGTTGGAATGTCAGTGATGCCACTACTCTTAGAACTCTGTTGTAGTCTTGTGTGACCTACATGTATAAGGATCAATATTCCCTTCAGGTGTGGAATCCCAATACTAAGAGGAATATTAGTCATATAGAGTCCATTCAAAGAAGGGCTACCAAATTAATTTATTCTGAAAAGTGATGAAGAGTATCAGGTTAGGCTACGTGAGCTTTGCTTGTTATCTTTAGTGATAGGCTAATACATGTCTACAGGTAGTTTGGTCTACAGGTAGAATGGTGCTTTGATGCTTCTTGAGGTTCTTTCCCTTTTCAACAATGTTGTTTGTTCCGAGCGGCGACTTTATAATCTTGTCGCACGCGAAGCGCGAGCACAGTTTGCTAATCGCGTGTGGTCTTAGCCANATTTTAAGTGGGGAATTCGAGTTATCGGGGTAAATTTCAGTGAAATCTTGATCAAGAGAAAGCAAATTTAGTTCGACTTAGCGGGGAATTCGAGTTATCGGAGTTCGAGTTATCGAGGTTCTACTGTATTAAATCCGCCAGAATCTGATCGAGTATTAGCTTATTCACGTAGAATTCCATCAACCATTCGCAACAACGACTACAGTTATGTCTCCAGTAAACAAAAAGGAACCAATAAATGGTTTTCCATGCCATCTTGAAGTTTCGTGTTCATATATCGGAACGATCTATAATTTCACTTTGATCTCCAGCTTCATTATTTGAGTACGTGGTTACCATCAGAGGACACATTACGAAGCAGGAACGTACCTTTACCTTTCACAATCCAGCTGACTTATCGTTCTCGGACACGACTGGAAGCACGTTTCATGTGTCAACAACAAAATAAATGAACAATCCGCGTTTAAAATAACGTCAATTTCGGATGCAAAATACTTGTGCTCTTGCTCATGAAAGTCCGCGTGAATTTGAACTCACCAAACGGAACTTCATTTCACACTTTTCCATTGGTTCAAAAGGCGCACGTGATGACGCAATTCACTTAGTGGGGAGACTGGTAACCAGTATAGCTCAAACATGGCGGATGATTTTGCTCGATGGTGAGCAAGTTGAAAAAAGCGGTCGTTTTCAGAGCTAAATAAAATATTCCAACGCTCTTGAGGTATAAGCAGCGAGAGGAAAATTTCGTATTGTTTTTTCAAGAAGCGATGACCTTTTATTAGGCAAAGCCGCTTTGAAAAACGTGTTGTGGACAAATAATGTTTGGAAAGCTCAGGTATCAGAAGTGGCACTTTGAATAAGCTTTCAGTATCGTGCTTATTTTTGATATTTTTTTTTTTAAAGATTTAAGTGGCAATAAATGTTGTATATAGATGCTGGTTAATGTCAAGAAATCCTTGTTGTTATAGGCAATTAAAGAAATGATTATTAAAATTTTTTACGCTTTTTATTACCTTTGAACAGTTATCGTTTTTCCTAAAAAATAAGCCAGTGTTTCCAAGTTAACAATGACTTGGAATTATTGAGAATTCCTAGGAATTCCCACAAATTCTCATTGGTATTTTAGCAATTCCCAATAATTCCCATAAGTTCCAAAGACAGTTTCCTTCAAACTTGGAATTATTGGGAATTCCTAGGAATTCCCAAAAATTCCCACTGGTGTTTTAACCCATTCCCAAGTATTCCCAAATATTTCAAGGTTTTTTATCTTTGCTCATTTGCATGTCTTGGAATAAATTGG